CACATGGAGCACTCTCACTGTTGGCGAACACAGGGTGACTCTACACCAATAGTTGGACCCGAGTCTAAACAGTCGGAATATCAAGTGCCACGAGCACCAATCGTGCAGCAGGATACGCCACGTGAAGTGTATTCACGGGCACATGGTAGTGGATCTTCGTCGGGATCTCCTCAACGTGGATGTCAGCAAAGCGCAGCTGAATATTTAGGAAATTTGTTTACAATTGATAGTTTTAATGTAGATACCTTTTAAATCTGTTTTTATTAATAATGTAAGTTGCGAGGCGTTGGTGGATACTAGTGCGTCGGTTTCAATAATCTCTCGTTGTTTTGCAGAAAGTTTACATTTGCAGATTGATGATACTCCAAGTTTTCCATTGCGTACAGTGGGCGGAACGCCAATAAAAGTGCAGACGTCCACCAAAGTGTCGTTGACGATTAATGGAAAGGATTTTCCATCAAGGTTGCTGGTTGAGCAAAGTGATAAGGAATATCTTATCCTCGGTAAAGATGTTTTGAAGAGGTGCAATTTCAAGTTGTCAAAATTGAAAATTGACAACAAAATTTCTTCTAAGTCCGTGACAGATATTGGGTCAAAGAAAGAAAAGTCTTCTTTCAAACCGGTATCAAAAAGTTTAGATAACTTCCCGCTAAATAGTTCGGAGTATGTAAACTCTTCAGTTTTGCCGGAAATAATGAAAAAAGTTGACGTAAGTGATAAGACGAGTAAATTGCGTCAAAAGCGTAATTTATATGAAAGTAATAATAAATATGTTTTGCCGAAGGTAAATATAAAATATAATTCGGAAAGTGACATTTTTAAACCTGTTCGCGTAAGTGTTGTGGACAATTTACAAGGCAAGTTTATGAAACGAGCAGCCTTGGTAGATTCGCGTAAAGAATGGATAGGTAATATACGATTGGAACAGAAGCGAAAATTTGATAAAAAAGATAGAGTTGCATTGATATCTGGGAGATATGATATGCGGAAGTTAGGGTAGTAGATCGCTTAAGTAGAGTTAATTGTATTGTGAGAAGATTAGGAGTAAATAGGAATAGATTGGGTAGGCAGGATCTAGTGCATGTGAAAAGAATGAAAAGGATCTATAGGAGGTAATTTAATGTTTTTTAGTTTCTACTAGGTAAATTAATCTTTTATATTTGTTTTTCATATGGATCCATAATGACATTGTGACGAATATTTTGAGGGAAGTTGTTATTTTCCGGCAAATGCAGACTTAGAAGGACGGGAGAAGATGGACTACCGACTTGGATTGAATAAATATAACTTACTTTTTATTTGATGGATATATTGTCCTGTGTGTGTGCATAATTCGTGATCACCCTCTAGATGAACAAGAACTGTCTGCATTCAAGGAAAATAAATTTATTTAATTATTAGGAATCCTCCATATGGTATGTCCCCATATCATATGTATGTTAGGAAATGTCGTTGTTAGGGTTATTTGTGTGTTTGTTCTCATTCTAACGTGGATAGCTGCAAGATGAGGACTAAGGCAGCTGGGAGATAAATATTGGTGTTACCCAGTGATCGCCCGATAGGTGCTCAAGCCTGTGTCGTCGTCGTAGCAGCGTGCACGTTGAAGATAGTTTAGTGATGCATTTAGGAAGTTCTAGTAGTGATGTTTAAGGATTTGTTAGGAACATTCAGCCAATCTAAGGTCAATTTAAGGTTAGGATTTAGACAGGTTACCTAAATAGCTAGGATAGCTAACGAATAATTATATTTTGAATTGTTTGATTAGGATGTGGTCATGGTCTGTCCTTTTAGATGGGTTTTTGGCAGACTAAAGCCATAGCTTCCTCGGTGGTTTACTTGTTGGTAAGGTAGTAGCTTCCGAGCAGTGTGTGGCTAGCCTATAGTAAAGGCTGATCACTTATGTAAGTTGCCTATCATAGGTAGGGCACCAGCTACGGATGTTCACCCCTTCAGTTGTGAGGAAGAGGGATGTAGTCTAGGCTCTACTCTATGAGTAGAACTACTGGCTGAGTGAATATAGTTTTGTATTTAGAATGTGTTTAAAAAAATAGGACAGAAAGAGAAGAACATCTTGGCAGATCTAGAAGTAGTGGCTACTTAATAAGTGATATGTGAAAAATACAATAAATATATAGTTATGAAGTTAATCCCAGTTTGTATTTATAAAGTACCTCTCGCTACGCAACCTGAGCTACCCCCTAGGCTACAGTACTTTCAAGTTAAATGTTCGATTCGGATTCGGATTCGATATTGTTATCCATCGGCGTTAACGGAATTAGTCGGCGAAATAGATTATAAGAAAAATGAAAATCCTTTTATACACATTTTTTAAGGCCTAAAGTACAGGAATGCATTGTTTGTCTTGCATTAAAATAAGTTAATAAAATTGAATGAAATCGACACTTTATTTAAAATATTAAGAGTTTTCCATATTACATTCTAGCTTTGTTAACAATAGGACGTTCGACATAATTTGTGACGTCATTTCGGTTCTGTTTCGAATACGACAGTATGACGTTGGACTCGTGTGTTGTGAATAAAAATGAAAAGAAATTGTACGATATGAAATCGGATCGGTCGACAACTGAGTTATCGTAAGGTTCTGAATCGACCCCCTGATCTGCAAGGCAGAAGTCCCGGTTTCGATTCCCGTGTCAGGAGAAATATTTTACATATTACCACTACATTTATTTCTCTCGTGAGTTTGGTTATAATTGTGAGTGTTTGTCCATGGCATCCGCGATACAGGGTTTTCCTAGTGGGTCTTTGACTGTATGCGTTACTTGTTTATTTACTTAATTAAAATAATTTATAACTTATGATCGCATGTGGCTTTATTATACCAAGGGTACGATATTTCGGCACGTTGAAAAAAATGTAGGTTAATGTGAAGTTTGTCATTCATAAATCTATAGAAAGCACAATTGACTCGCGAGTGACGGCATGCGTGCCTTTGCATGACACCGCGTGATATGTCGCTTAAGTTGAGTCATGTCATCGCTACTCGTAATCGGTTTCAATGAACTGTGTCTCTACTATGACTTTACCGCGTAAAATGTTTATATACAAAATGTTGTTTCTTGTTGCAACCGCTAGGGGCGTTGTGTAATTTGCCATACAAAATTTGTGAAGTAATTTACGCGGTCGCTAGCGAAAACTCACAGTAAACTCGTGGTAGAGGCACTGAACGTCGCCTCAGAAGCTTAGTTATTTCAATATTTATTTTTATTGAATATCATATTTTTACCACTATATTCACATATTTTTTTATGAAAATACCACTCCTTCCACTAGTTTTAATGTTATTACAAAGATCGAACAAACACATATAAAAAATCTCAGAAAAAACCATATACTATTTAAAAAGCAATTTTATACAGTGTCAATAATATTCTGTGTCTGAATTTTTGTATGCCAATCATATGCCAATTCCTAAATTCATAGTCTATTTTTTGACATTTGTGTGTGTGGTGTTACAGCTTTGCCTTTTCCTTGACGGAAATAATTTACAAAACAAAATATTTATTTTGACGTTTATTCAAATTATTAGTACTATTTTGATGACTTCAGACAAATAATAAATTTTAATGTAAAAATGGCGGGTTATAGTAGTTACAGTTTTTACATTAAGTTACATTTTTACTTTACGTATTATTATACTGTTTAAGCTGATGGCTCTATAGCTAATGCTGAATAAATAAATAAAATAATAAAAATAACTTCAGACAAAACGGCTGAACAGTGAACCCGGAATTCTGCTTTTTTTGGAACAATATATAACGATTTCCCGCCAAAAAATGTCAGAAAATTTAATTATTCAAGAAAAAGTTATAACTAAGATCTGGCAGTGTGGCTAATTAGCTGCCGTAGCCCGTTTCGAAGGATGAACATTTTTGCTACTATTATTATTTTTTTGACATCTAGAGTTACATTTAACAATTAGAATTATTAACATTGACGTTCACATCCATGCGATGTTTTTAAAAAACATGTTACACCTAGTTACATGTTATTGTACCATTGTAGTTACCTTCATAATATAATGTTTGGCCGAACTTAGTGAAACTGTACTTATTTTATTACAGTTCAACTTCTATACATCCTGTGTTTCCACAAATAAACGAATTATGAATAATAAATAAGCTTCACTCCATCACAAGGATATTTATTCAACAATAAAATAGTTCAACATGATAGACATGAGCAATATGAATATCAATTTCCGTGGCTCATGTTGTGCAGTGGCCGGCGGACAGTAGTCGCCGCAATCGATTGATGGATGGATTCGGTTCAAAACGGACTTGTCTGCTTAATTACACACAACTTGGATAACTCCGGGGATGTGATGAATCACCGATAATTATTGGCACGTTGGAAACATTTGAGAAGTTTAGTATTTAGAATTATATCACGCGGGAAGGTACGAGCACTATCCGTATTTTTAATTACTAAGTTTTTTATAACTGTAAAAGGTTTATAAATGGTTTGCCAGAAAATTAACCCATCTAAAAGAAAGTTCAGCATTGGTTGGGATTGTTAGGGAACTGTATAAAAGTTGTAAGAAAAATTTGAGAATGCACAATACAAGCTCGTGACGTTGCATAATACGACGCGTGTTCAGCCAAAGTATTCGTTATGGTATTTGCTACACCTAGCCAACCGGGCATATGCTTTCCGATATGACGCCGAACGTCAGGTGTTCATCTCCGCGTTGCTATTCTAAAAGTAGCTACAGGCAATTGTTTCAGATTTCAGAATAGAATAAATTGTTAGTGTGTATTTGAGTCGTTTTAGAAGTGGGAAGGACAGAGCCCTCCCTACAGGAGAGAGTGCCAACGGTTGAGAGTACTCGAGACTCTGACGAGCCGATCTGAGGGGCGATATTCGCGAGGCCGTGGGCTCGCTCGCTGCATCCCTGTTGCTCACGCGCGCGACGTTAGGCGGGCGGGAGGCACTCAGCCGGCGTCACTCACGTCGTGTCGGTCTCCTCGATCGTGTGTCCGAACCTCTCCTGTCCGCGACGTACGATCTCTCCGAACCCTACCGGTACTAACTCTACCGCGACGCGTATTGGACGCGATCTTTCATCAAATAAACATATCCTCTCATTATCCCTGCACTTTCTGATCACCCTTTGTAGTTTGTCAGTCTGTAATTAAGTCAATGTAAAGTTTTTGTGTCTATAAGAACTTGTAGATATAAGTATTTAACAGTTATTATTGGATTGACTGAACATTAAATAAAGTCGGTGCGTGAAGGATTGGTCCGATTCTTGAAGAAGTGAAAAGTGTCCGGTTCGGAAAACAACCGGCCCGAGTCGCCACGCCGATTACATCTAACAAGTAGGTAAGTTAAGTACCCGCCGCGACCGTGCTTGCCTTTAAATTATCTGGTTTTTTAAACGCAGAAGATTTCTCCTTTTTGTGACAGCTTAATCTCTACGGGTCCTGATTACTAGACAACAGAGCGTAAAGAAGATGGACTGTTTATCTTATTTTTATTTTTTTACTTTTCCTTTTTTAAATTGTTCTTTATTAACTGTTTTGTTTATTTTGTTATTTACATTTAAACTTTTAAGTTTTATTCTTTAAACTTCAGTATAGTGACTTTGTACACATGTATTTGTTTGCAGCTTATCCAAATATTTATTGGTAAATTTGACTATGGAATAGAGCCGTTAGGATCAATTAATTAAATAAATTCATAATTATTGCACACGTGATAAGAATATATAATAGAAATGTATACAAATATGATTATTTAATTAAAATGTTTGACCTCACGCTGAAGTATTCACCTGGTACTGAAAAACATATTACAAAACAAACATTATGGGAAGTAATTAAAACATGATGACAAATGTATGAATACTACTTTTTCAATTATATTAAATAAGATTAGATAAGATAAGCTATAAGCAGCTTCGGTTATTTATAAACACTACTATTTCTATAACAATGAGGTATTACTTTTAAGAGAAACTAAACGAAACAGCAGAAAAACTCAACAACATCAAGACAAAATTGTCTATTCCGTTAAACATTGAATGTTAGAAATACTCGGTGCTTGTAAGAATTCCACAGATAAACAGGTTGTAATGTAGTCTCCGTTACTGTAACAAAAACGTGACCGACTCCAATAGAAGGCCTAGAAATTGTAAGCTAGAATAAGCTGGCAATCAAGAATCGGCCTTTGAACACTTTAAACTAAATTGCGATCTGTTCTCTAAGAAATTATCTATAGAACTAATTTACTCAATGGGTCCAACCAGGAATCGAAACCGAATCCTTATTTTGCGCTCAGTGTGTTAACCGGCAGCCCATAGTTCGGCAGCGAATCTACCACCACACGGAAAGAGAACCCAAATGTTTTCATAATCGCCAACATATTATATGTACCACTGCTGGCATGGGTCTCATTTAAAAAAAATCGAAAAAAAAAAACGCCGATTTAGCTCTTCTAAATCTGTAGACGAGTTAACCTCATCGGCATCAGACGAAAGCAGATAGATTGAAGATATATATAATTTTTCGTCATACATAATACTTATTCCTACTAAAAACACTCAAAAATTTGGAGAGGATTAATTTTTAAGATTAAGTAATATATCCCGACACGTTAGGAACCGTGACTAAAAAATATAATATATTAAGTTTAAATTAAAAAATCCCTGATACAAAAAAAAAACTTCAAAAAGTGCAATTAAGTCACCATCCGTAAGCTAACAACTTGTCAAAACTAACTGAATGAATTTAACGAGCATAAACACAATAGTTTTACTGTAAGTGGTTGAGGAGTTGGGTAGTCTGCAGAGTATCCTGGTTGTAGCGTCAGATCAAGGTTACCATGTTATAGTAATGTCATTGGATTTCCTATATCAAATTTCAAGTCGATCGGATAAGTTTTTTTTTCTTTTATTTTTAAGGCACAAATAATAGTATTTTATGCAATCGTTGCACAATGAGGGTTCTTAAAGTAGGGTACCGTATTTACCGTGTAGCGTTACGAGATTTTAATACCTAATTAGGTAATGATTGCATACAATCTACGAGTAAATAAAATAATGAAATAGAACCAATATTTCGTCTGTTTAAGGGTAAAACTACATAGGTGACATTTTCCACAAAAGTCTTTAATTTATATAGCTATGGTAAAAAAATTACCTTCTTGCACGTGAAACTCGATAACAAAAAACTATAAACTCAATAAGAGTTTTATCTGCATAAAGATTTACATATTTAATTTGGAAATTTTATGTGTATTATGTCACTCGTGTGATTTTACCTATTTAATATATATTTTGATAACAATCCATGACAACAAACGCAATTTTTAAAAATAAATTTTAGCCCTTTTATTAGGGTAGGCAAAGATTCCATCATACAGCCTCTTCATATATTTATACGACAGCCAAGCAAACGCTACAAAATAAAAAACAAAGAGATAGAATAGAAGTGGCCAAGTACCAAATTATAACCAATCATTTTTTTAAAACATTTATGACCCGGTTGCAAGACTTTTAGTGCAATTTAACAATAAGGAAGCAGTATAGCGTTTACGTAGCGTCCTAATTGATATTCAAATTAGAAAAATTTGACGTGCTTTTTTTGAAATTCATTGTAGTTCTGTGTCAGAATTTTAATGAAATTTTTCAACTCAGTGGCGAGTACCATGAAGACAATAGAATTTTGATTCAGAACTAAAAAAGAGCGCTTATAGGATATGGTTTATGAAACTTTAATTGACAGATTAAAGTACAGGAGTACAAAAGTATATTACAATCTAGGCAAATACAAGACAAATAAGTAACTTACATTTCAATCTAATAAGTAAACAAATCAAACAAAGAATTCACCCACTGGCAATTGTCTTATTATCTATTAAGGTGAAGACACTTTTATCATGTGATCTTTTTGCTTAGTATCACTGGCAATATTTAGTTCAATCGTACACTAACGCTACACTAGTTCAAATGGTTTCATCCATTTTAGTCGCTTTTTGAACCTAAAACATAATCAAATAACAGAAGAGAAATAGGAATGAAATATATTAAATTTGATAAAAGTTTTTATTTAACTAATGACAAAAAAAAAAGAAAAGCCAAAAAATTTGAATTTATGTCGACAAATACTTTTATCGCTTACTATTAACATACTAAACCAACTCAAGATTATAACTTAGGAGGGTTAAACTTTAGACCAAACGGATATATGTAAGTACTTGAATGTGTACAAACCGCGGTAACTAACTACAAGTTGAAATTGTCACGAGATATGACTTTGACAAATGTTTGTGGTACAGTTCACATCTATTTCAATATGAAACTTTGGTATTGGAAGGTATTTATTTGCCTATCTGTTACGTCATTTAAATTTGTGTTTTTGTTTCAAGTTTTCTGTGATTTTGGACTACGAATAGCTATTACAAGTTTTTATTTCCCACAGGTGCCGCAACGAAAGAGATAAAATAAAGACGACAGAAGCATATATAGGATATAGGAAATATTTTATGTTAATAGTTTTTAACTAAGTATTTTCTAACATAATAAGGAAGACTGTATTATGCCAATACGTGTATCCCATTGCTTGGCATAGGTCTCCATTAAGCGCCGGCTTTAGTCCAAAGTAAACAATGCCTACCTAATAGGTGTAGGAGACTAAGTACTATAAAGTGTTTTTGCAGACGGTGGTAGAAATCGGTAGAGTGCTGTTACTAGGAATATTTAATATAATTCTACCACAACTAAACCTAAAAAACAACTTTAAAAATACCAGAAAATAGCAATGGTAGTCTAATGGTAAAACTAAAACTTTTAAGCCGAATTTTCACCGGACTCGCATCTCTGAGTTTATCGTTTTTCACCGAAAAGGTGAAAGAAAACACTGCGAGGATACCTGCATATCTGCAAAGCAAGTTAATGATGTTTGTGAAGTTCGTTTCGCGTTGGTCCTGCGTGGTAACTACAGCACATTACTAGCAGTAGAGCTTGCTATGAAAGAGTTCGTACAGGAAAGAACTGCCGCCTATGTCTGCCGTCAAGCAATAATGTGAGCATTACTGCATACCGGTTTTCAAGGGTAAAATTTAGTTTATTTAATTATGAAGGGTAAGGGTGATGGTGAAAGTGCAGAGGCCTTCAGACCTTTGCGGTTGAAAGCTCTGAGTGGCACTGCAACTGTCATGGGCAATTGGTCCCATCATAAAAAAGTTGCAAACAAGAGAAGAAAACAAACGCTGGCTACAAAATTTTTCACCCTTTATAAATTCAAATAAAGTTACTCGATAACTTTTTTATGATTAACCCAGTGCCGGCGCAAAAGACACAATACATATTATTTCAGAACTTTGCTTATATTAGGTAATAAATTCTACATAGTTTTTGTTTTCGGCATCAATGGCTAATATGTCAATATTGCCTTTTGTTTTTGCACGGGCGCAACAGAGTAAAGTAATATATGTTCACGTATAAACAAAAAAATTCTACCATACTTTTTGTTCTCTATTGTTCAAAAACTATTATATGAATTATAAAATTTCACATGTACGACTTTTTTCCTTTATAATATTAAGTCACGGGACGTACAAGTCTTGTGCACTGCCACTGCCACTGCGCCTGTCAGACTGAGACATAAGTTGAAAAGCCCCATGTGCCTGTGATTTCACCAGCACCCTCACCATTCAAAACCGGAACACAGTAATGCTGACATTACTGCTTGGCGGCAGAAATAGGTGAGGTGGCAGTACTTCCCTGGATGAACTATTTCAGAAGGAGCTCTACTGCTACTAAAACCTGCGTGATTTGTTTTGTGTATTTCGTATTATTTTCATGTGGTAAAATCACTTTTGACGTATAGATGTGGCTTTAATACACCATGGGAACCAAGTAGTGTTCTCTCATGCAGTACTAGTATTAGTACTGTACCGCGTCCAGTAGTAGACGTCTGTCAGCTGAAATTATGAAGATAGGGTAAAGGGGTAGATCCAACGGCATATAGTCTTATGGCCTATAGTAATTTTTTAAGCTCAGAAAAAGAGTTTTGGGGACAGTATATTAGTATATTACAATCAGTGAATAGATTTATTTTTGCATGTTTAATCAGGGTATTTGGCGACGAAATAATAAGTAAGTGGTGGTTATTTGATTGCCAAAATAAATAACAAATTTTTAGATAAAAAAAATTTAATACCATACAAATTTCTGTACCTATGTTGTTTATTAGAAAAAATGAATAATTTACTTTTAAATTATTTTTTCTTTGGTCCTATGGTCACGGCTGGCTATCTTTGTTTGAAAAAGCAAATATACGTGATTGAGATCCGAGAATATCATTGTACAGTAATCGTAA